CTGTGGACGTTGCGGGCCAAAGTGATCGGAGGCACTCCCTCTCCCTCCCTCTCTCTCCCTCCCCCTCCCCCCCCCTGGCACACCACCTGTTCCTGGATGTCAGCACGGGATACACCACAGCCGCACGCAGGGGAGAGACATATAGGGAGGTGGTGCAGGTGCCTGAGGGGCGTGGGAATGGCTGCGGTGGGTCCTCTGTGCCCGGACACAGCCTCGCCCCCTACACACGCCTGCCCAGCTGCTGCCACCTTGCCCGCTCGCTCGGCGCCGACTCACCCAAAAATTGCGGCGAGGAACGCAGGACCAAGGGCCCGTCGGTAGTGCCACCGCCGCGACAGGTGCGGCCGACAGGAGGCGTCTCGGGGCCCCCGCCGCCTAGTGGCAATGCTGGAGGTGGTGCGGTCGGAGGAGGAGGGTCTGGAGCCGGAGGCTCGGGCCAGCTGCCGCTGCTGAACCTGTCCAAGGTCCGCGCCTCGTGGGAGGCCCGTCCGGGGGAGAACAGCTCGGCCAGCGGCCCACTCTCGGTCCGGTCTGCGGCTAGCTCGGGCGGCGATCGCTATGGTGCCGCGCTCTCGTACCGCCAGCGCAAGTATCTGCTCTCGCAACAGCGCAGCCGCGGTGGCGCCGCACCACGCCCGTCGCCCTACTCGGCTCGCCAGCGCCGCCAGTATGCCAAGCCGAGCTACCAGGCCTCGTCGTCGCTCTTTACCCGCGCAAAGTCGCATCGCTCGCGGACCGGTCGATCCGGTGCAAGCCTTGCAAGCATCTACGGCGGCGGAAGGGGCGCAGACAGGAGTGCCGGTGGCGGCGGCGGCGGTCGCGCCGGTCGCGGAGGACTGACCTCGGCGGCCGCCCCCGTCCCGCCCCGCAACGACGCCCAGACCATCCCCACCGTCTTCCACGCAGAAGGCTCGTTTGCAGCATCATCCGGACCGACCACCATCCAGACCGCACGCGAAGCTACCAGCCATGCTGCCGCGGCCGACGCCGCGGCCCCAGACTCGAGCTATCAGCCGCTCTCGGCACGCCTCCCGCGTACCGCGCCGCTTGTGCCCGCCGGCGACGGCGACGACGCCGCCGCCGCTCCCGACTCTGCTGTCGAGACTGCTGACGAGCCCCATGCGGCCGCCGAGTCCGATGGCTCGCAGGACCATCTCACTGGTCTGTACGAGAGTTTCCGGCGGCGGTTGTACGACAAAAACGTGGGCTCGTCGCTGCTCGACGGAGCCGAGCCTGTGTCGGCGTCCGAGCCCGCGGGCGAGCCCGCGGGCGAGCCTGCGCCAGCAGCTCCGGCCGCGTATGCGCCGCCCAAGTCAATTCTGCACGCAGATGCGCTGGCGGCCAAGGTTGGCCCGTCGCCGCGCAAGCGAGTCGGACTCAAGCAGCTGCGACAGGGCGCAGCGCCGGCAAACAAGCCGGTGGACGCCAAGGCCAGCGACACGGCTCGGTCACCGGCCCAGACAGTTCCAAGCAGTGATGCAGTGCGTCCAACACCGCCGAGCAAGGGTCTCGCTGCAGCGACCAAGCCGCCGTCGACCGCCGAGCCCACGCCGCCGGCCAGCAACAGCTCGCTGGCAGCCCGCCGCGGCCGCGCCGGCAAGGCGCAGCGAGTCGTGTCCGGCGGCGAGGGCCTCGTCGGCGTCGTCGCCGGTGCAGCCAAGCAACCCAAGCCGAGTCTTGAGAGCGGGACCGGCAGGGTTGACAGCGGGACCGGGGCCGGCATGACCCGTGAGGGCCCGCGGTCGAGCTCGGGGCCCAAGGACTCGGTCTCTGCCGGCGGGCGCGGAGCGCAGGCCGAGAGTGGCGAGTACCTGACGCCAGCGCAGGTGCTGAAGGACCACTCGGCGGCGCTCACACCGTACGAGCAGGCTGAGGTCCTCGAGTTTCCCAAGGTGTACTTTTTCGGGACGACCAAGTCGAAGATCCGGGCCAAGCCCGGGGCGCCACACAACCACGGGTACGACGACGAAAATGGTGACTACAAGCTCGTCATGCACGACCACATTGGGTACCGCTACGAGGTTCTCGACCGGGTCGGCAAGGGCTCGTTCGGCCAGGTGGTCAAGGTCTACGACTGCAAGCGCAACGAGATGATGGCGCTCAAGCTCATCCGCAACAAGAAGCGGTTCCACTCGCAGGCGCTAGTCGAAGTCAAGGTCTTACAGACTATCCGCGACTCGGATACGCAGGACAACTCGTGCATCATTCACATGATTGACCACTTTTACTTCCGCAACCACCTGTGCGTCACCTTTGAGCTCCTCTCGGTCAACCTCTACGAGTTCATCAAGATGAACAACTTCCAAGGCTTCTCGCTCGGCCTCATCCGCCGCTTTGCCGTGCAGATGCTGCAGGCGCTACGCTTTCTCAAGAAGCAGAGCATCATCCACTGCGACCTCAAGCCCGAGAACGTGCTCCTCAAGAACGCCGCCAAGTCGGGCATCAAGGTCATCGACCTCGGCTCGTCGTGCTTTGAGAACCAGCGAGTCTTTACCTACATCCAGTCGCGGTTCTACCGCTCGCCCGAGGTCATCCTCGGCCTCCCGTACGGCACTGGCATCGACATGTGGAGCCTAGGCTGCATCCTCGCCGAGCTTTTCACCGGCACTCCGCTCCTCCCCGGCGAGTCCGAGGTCGAGCAGATGCTGTGCATGCAGGAGATCCTGGGCGTCCCGCCGCGCTCGCTGCTGCAGGCCTCGGAGCGCCGCAAGCACTTTTTCGACTCGAACTTTCACCCGCGCATCGTCCCCAACTCGCGCGGCCGCAAACGGTATCCCGGCACCAAGGACTTGCGTAGCACGCTGAGATGCAGCGATGAGCTGTTCATCGACTTTCTCAAGCGGTGTTTGGCCTGGGACCCGGCCCGCCGCCTCACCCCCTCCGCTGCCCTCCAGCACCCCTGGATCATGGCCGCACTCTCGGGCTCGTCCAAGACCGCCTCGGGCTCGTCCAAGGCCGCCGCGGCCTCGGCCCCTCGCCCGCCCGCCCATCCACCTTCAAAGCCGCCCTCGGCCTCCTCCTCCTCCTCTGCCGTCTCGTCGCTCCTCCGTAAGCGGCGAGCAGCCAAGGCTAGCAGCCGCCGATAGCCCCCCTCCCCCCCCTCCGTCTCCGTTATCGGCACGCTTTCTCGTATATCTACCGTAAAAAGCAGGCGATTGTCCACAGGACAACTAGTAGCTGTCGAGCAGAACGCCAAGCCGAAATACACAGCCATCACCCAAACCCAGCCACGGTCACAGCTACCACCACCCCTCCACCCACCCCAACCACCACACACACACCACATACCACCACACACACCACCACCACTACCACACACACACACACCACCACCACCACCACCACCACCCTCTCCCCGTCACACACACTTCACCCATGTCGCTCCCCACCGAGGCCGAGGTGCTCGAGCAGTACATGACCAGGCTGGAGGCCGTGACCGCACCGTCGTCCTCCGAAGGCGAGACGCTGGAGGCGCTCGCGGCTATGAAGGAGGACCTCTTCCACAAGACGGTAGTGCTCCGGTCTGCAGGACGTGAGCGTGAGGCCGAGGCCATCCTCCGCCCGCTGCTTGGCCTTTTTGCCTCGCCATGGGCCAAGGTCCGCAAGTGGGTCGCTGGCTTTGCCGGCGAGCTGGTCGCCCTCGCCCCGTGGTGGCTCACCTCGCGGGCCCTCCTCGACGCACTTCGCATGCTGCTGGATGACACCAACTCGGCTGTGGCCAAGACTGCTGTGCTCTCCGTGACCAAGCTCTTCACCAAAGCCCTCTGGCTCCTGTGCGGCAACTCCGAGTCCGGGGCAGACACCCGCGCCGCAGCCATGCTCGACGCCGCCTGGTGGGCCGACTTTTACAAGCTCGCAGACCCGGTCTTCAAGCACGGCATGTCGTCGTCCAAGGACGGCCTCCGCATTGCCGCCCTCAAGTTCTACGAGGCATTTGCTCTCGCCTGTTTCTCGCTCCCGCAGAAGCCCGAGCCGGCGCTCCTGGCCGTCATTGACGACGTCAACGCCCTCACCCGCCGCGCCATGTCCCACGTCGAGGCTCTCTGCCGCATGACCTCGGCCACCACCGTCACTGCCATGGTTCTCAAGGTTGTCATCGGCCTCCTGCTCAAAATCGGCCTCACACACCAGCACACCCACGAGCTCGTCATCGGTGCCCTCGTCGCGCTCGCCTCCAACACTCTCCGCCACATCGCCAAGCAGCAGCAGGCCTCGACCAAGTTCCTCATCAAGTCAGCCCTGCTCAAGTTCCTCCGCAAGCCCGAGACCGAGCCGTACCACGAGGATATGGTCGTTGCGCTCGGTCGCATGGACGCCCACGACCCGGCTGAGAACGCCATCCGCACCGCCGAGCGCGCCATGGGCCGCCTCTCCGCCTTTCGCAAGCGCCAGCGTGACGCTGCCGAGGCCGCCCAGCGTGCTGCCCGCAAGCGGCAGAAGACCCAAGCCCTCGCCGCCAAGCTCACCAAGTCGCTCACCGACCTCGCCAAGCTCGATCCCAAGCTTGTCGGCGTCATCTCCAAGTGCGTTGAGGCTGCCGGCGGCGACCCGGGTCGCCTTGTCGAGCTTCTCAATGCCGAGGGCGTGGACATTGCCGCGGTCTCAGACGACCTCGCCGACATGATCGCCGCCACCGAAAAGGCCACTGCCGTCGCAGACATGGACGTCGCGTCTGCGTCAGGCGAGCTCGGCGCGTCGGACCCGCGGCGGGCTGAAAAGGCCATTCCCTGGGCAGATCGCCTTGCCAAGGCCACCGCAGCCTCGCCGCCGGCGGCCTCGCTCTCGCTCTCGCAGTGCCTTGCGCTCTACGACGCCGCTCTCGCCCGCTGCACCTCGTCGCGTGCCGCCGTCGCCGCCGGCGGCGGAAACCACATTGCGCTCGGCCTCATTCCGCACCTCGGCCTGCTTCGCACCCTCGTCGTCATCCAGGACGCGTCGCTGGCGGCCGCGCCCAAGACCCAGGCCGCCGAGCAGGCCCTGCTCAGCTTCCTGGCGAGCGAGCTGCCTCAGTCGATGCCAACACTCGTCGGCTGGCTCCACCTGGCATACGCCAACACTGCCGGGCTCACGCCGCTGCAGGCGCTCCCGGCCGATGCATACGACGCACTCCTCCTCCGGGTCATTGACACCATCGGCTCGCTCAAGACCGACGTGACGAGCCGCATGGGTCACCTTGCGGTGGTGCTCGCCAACGCACCGGCGCTGCCGGGCTCGGCCGTCGCGCGCATCAGCGAGCTCACCCAGCCCGCGCCCGAGCACGCCGCCGACGCTGCAACAAGCGTCTCATCCTCGATGGCGCTGTGGAGCGAGCTGGCGGTGATGCGGCCGTCGGGCGCCGAGCCGTTTGTGGCCCACCTCCTCGACGCGGCGCTCTCGGACCGCAGTGATGTCCGCGAGGTCGCCGCCGCCACAGTCGCCTCCAAGCTATACTCGGTCGGCACGCACCGCGAGATCATCGAAGAGTTTGCTAAGACCGCCGTGGCCTCGCTCGCCAAGCTTGACCCGGCGAGTCTGCCGGAGGAGCAGGGCGCGGCGGACAACGTGATCCAGACCAAGCTCGACCTGTTCCTCACGCTCATGGGCAAGAAGCACGAGCTGCTGCATGACTTTATGACGGTGTACCCCGGCTTTGCCCAGGATGTCAAGAAGCACGTTCACCGCCAGCTAGTGCCTGTCGTCCAGTCAATGGGCTCGTCGTCACCGGTCATCCTCAAGGTTGTGGAGACGCACCCCGAAGAAGCCAAGATTCTCCTCTTGCAGATTCTGCACGCACTCACCGACTCGGCTCCGCCGTCGCGGGAGCTCGTGGCTGCGGTGCTCAAGGTGTACAACGAGCGCGAGCGCAACGTCCGACTCCTCATTCCGATTCTCTCGGGCATGTCGAACGCAGTCCTCCTCGAGCACGTCAAGGACCTCATCGCGCTGCCGGAGCGGACCGCGCGGTTCGTGGTGGGTAAGCTGGTGCGGACCGAGGGCATGGCGCTCTCGCCAGTCGACTTTCTCGTTCACGTCCACGTCCTCGAGCCCAACCCGGAGACGCTTCCGCGCCAGCGGCTGCAGGACGTCGTCTCGTGGGTCTTTGCCGACACAACGGTGACGTCGGACAAGCTCATTGCCATTCTTGTGCAGCGGCTCATGTCGCACTCGGTCATCCCGCCCATGCTCATGTCGACGGTCTCGGCCATCTGGCGCGAGCGGCCGGCGCTCTCGCGGTTCATCATGTCGCAGCTCGGCCAACTCATCTCGTCGTCCAAGTCGTCCAAGAAGAAGGTGTGGAAGGACGCGCAGATCTGGCAGGGCTTTGTCGACTTTATCCTCATGGCGCGGCCGCAGTCGCTGCAGCTCGCTTTCCAGCTCCCGGTCAAGCCCTTTGCCGCCCTCCTCAAGCGCAACCCCGAGCTCCTGGCCAACCTCACCGCGTTTGCCAACGACCAGCGCGGCCGCATCCCGCGCTCGCACATCGAAGCTCTCCAGGAGCGCGCCAAGAAGAACCGCAAGAAGGCCAAGGCCGCGGCAGCCAAGGCGGCCCAGGCCGCTGCCATGCCGCAGGCGGAGTAAACCCGACTCTCACTTTCTGCGGCGGAGGCCGACTAGGCCAAAGCCGGCCACAATGAGCATGTACAGCGCGAGGCCCGAGAACTTGGTCCTGGTCGCGTGTGCCGCAGGGCTCGCCAGATCGGCGTCGACGGTGGGCAGCATGTTGAGCTGCCGCAGGAGCAGGACGTCCTCGAGCATGTCGGCGAGGAAACCGGCGGCGAGGGCGGCGGCGGCAGCAGCAGCCACCAGCCAGTGGCGGGCAGGGACAGCAAGAAGCGAGTGCTCGCCCGCCCGCGACGCCCACCACTGCAAGCCGGCAAGGAGCAGGGTCGGTGGGTACGAGGGGATGAAAGCGGCCAGGTCCACAAGGAGCGCCCAGCGGAAGAGGCGCAGCCCGTCGAGGCCGAGCCCCTCCCAGCACGCAGCCCAGGCGGCAGGCGACGGTGCAGGGCGGAGGTCCGGCGTCCGCACCCCGGTCTCGGCGTAGATGCTGGCGTTGATGACGGTGATGACCGCAAAGGCCGTTCCGGTCACAGGCGCAAGGAGCCACCACGCCCCAGGCAGACGCATGGCTTGGAGAGCAGTGTGGGCAGGGGGGGGGAGGGGGGAGAGGGAGGGCGCCAGCTGACCGCCGGCGGGAGGGCCGGTCACTGAGTCATCCAGGGATGCGGCCGATCGGGGGTAAGGAGGCCATCGGATGACAACTGGTGAGCGTTTAGTGAAGGTGCTTAGCTGTCGGCTGCTCCCTGGGGTTGTATGGGCCGTATTGGGCAGAGTTGGGTGGGTAGCGGTGGTGCTCCCAAACTGGAGACGGAAGATCGCGTCCCATGGGACTTGATCTTTTGATCTGAGGACAGGGGGATGCGGGTGCATGCACCTTCACCGACTTTGATGGCAATCACCTTCTGGGAATCGGCAAAATCAACTAACTTGTGTCTACTAGCAGCAATGGCGGTGTGGTGATGGTCATTCATTGCCCGCGAAAGTAGGCCTCAGCCTTGGCAGCGTACTCGGCAGAGGTGAACGAGTATGACGGGGCGTCGCCAACTGACGACTTGATGCCGTACGCGCCGGGGCCGGGCGAGCCGACCTCGTCGCGGACTGGATGCCGGCCCTTGAGCGACGGACCCTCGCCGCGGCTGTCGCCGATCGAGCCGGTGAGTCCGTAGGCACCGGGGCCAGGCGAGGTCTCGGCGGTCGTCTTGACGTGGTGCCGCGACTTCATCGAGACAGCGGGCGCATCGCCGACCGACGACTTGACGCCGTACGCACCAGGGCCAGGCGAGGTCTCGGCAGTGGTCTTGACATGGTGTCGTGACTTCATGGACGCACCAGGTCCCTTGCCGACCGTGCTATCGATCATGTAAGCACCGGGGCCTGGCGAAGTCTCGGCGGTGGTCTTGACATGGTGCCGCGACTTCATCGAGACCGCAGGCGCGTCGCCGACCGACGACTTGATGCCGTACGCGCCAGGGCCAGGCGACTGCTCAGCCGTCGTCTGAACGTGGTGCCGGGACTTCATCGACGCAGCCGGAGCATCGCCGATCGACGACTTGATGCCGTAGGCCCCGGGGCCAGGCGAGCGGCGCGTGTCGGCCGCGCTGGCGGTCTTGGGCCGGAGCGAGTAGGCTGGAGCGTCGCCGACCGACGACTTGATGCCGTATGCACCAGGACCGGGCGAGGTCTCAGCGGTCGTCTTGACATGGTGTCGCGACTTCATCGAGGCCGCAGGCGCGTTGCCGACCGACGATTTGATGCCGTACGCGCCAGGGCCAGGCGACTGCTCAGCCGTTGTCTGAACGTGGTGCCGCGACTTCATCGAGACAGCCGGCGCATCGCCGACCGACGACTTGATGCCGTACGCACCAGGACCAGGCGAGGTCTCGGCGGTCGTCTTGACATGGTGTCGCGACTTCATCGACGCACCCTTGCCCCTGCCGATGGTGCCGTCGATCATGTAGGCACCAGGGCCTGGCGAGGTCTCGGCGGTCGTCTTGACGTGGTGCCGAGACTTCATCGAGACCGCAGGCGCATCACCCACCGACGACTTGATGCCGTACGCGCCAGGGCCCGGCGACTGCTCAGCTGTTGTCTGAACGTGGTGCCGCGACTTCATCGACGCAGCCGGAGCATCGCCGATCGACGACTTGAGGCCGTATGCGCCCGGACCGGGAGAGCGGCGCCTGTCGGCGGCACTGGCGGTCTTGGGCCGCATCGAGTATGCAGGAGCGTCGCCGACCGACGACTTGATGCCGTATGCACCAGGACCGGGCGAGGTCTCAGCGGTCGTCTTGACATGGTGCCGTGACTTCATCGAGGCCGCAGGCGCGTCGCCGACCGACGACTTGATGCCGTACGCCCCAGGACCAGGCGACTGCTCGGCCGTTGTCTGAACGTGGTGCCGCGACTTCATCGAGACAGCCGGCGCATCGCCGACCGACGACTTGATGCCGTACGCGCCAGGACCAGGCGAGGTCTCGGCGGTCGTCTTGACGTGATGGCGCGACTTCATCGACGCACCCTTGCCCCTGCCGATGGTGCCGTCGATCATGTAGGCACCAGGGCCTGGCGAGGTCTCGGCGGTGGTCTTGACATGGTGCCGCGACTTCATCGAGACCGCGGGCGCGTCGCCCACCGACGACTTGATGCCGTAAGCACCAGGGCCAGGCGACTGCTCGGCCGTCGTCTGAACGTGGTGGCGACCCTTGAAGGACGCTGCGGGAGCATCGCCGACCGACGACTTGATGCCGTACGCGCCAGGGCCAGGCGAGGTCTCAGCGGTCGTCTTGACATGGTGCCGTGACTTCATCGAGGCCGCAGGCGCGTCGCCGACCGACGACTTGATGCCGTACGCGCCAGGGCCAGGCGACTGCTCGGCCGTTGTCTGAACGTGGTGCCGCGACTTCATCGAGACAGCCGGCGCATCGCCGACCGACGACTTGATGCCGTACGCGCCAGGACCAGGCGAGGTCTCGGCGGTCGTCTTGACGTGATGGCGCGACTTCATCGACGCACCCTTGCCCCTGCCGATGGTGCCGTCGATCATGTAGGCACCAGGGCCTGGCGAGGTCTCGGCGGTCGTCTTGACGTGGTGCCGAGACTTCATCGAGACCGCAGGCGCATCACCCACCGACGACTTGATGCCGTACGCGCCAGGGCCCGGCGACTGCTCAGCTGTTGTCTGAACGTGGTGCCGCGACTTCATCGACGCAGCCGGAGCATCGCCGATCGACGACTTGAGGCCGTATGCGCCCGGACCGGGAGAGCGGCGCCTGTCGGCGGCACTGGCGGTCTTGGGCCGCATCGAGTATGCAGGAGCGTCGCCGACCGACGACTTGATGCCGTATGCACCAGGACCGGGCGAGGTCTCAGCGGTCGTCTTGACATGGTGCCGTGACTTCATCGAGGCCGCAGGCGCGTCGCCGACCGACGACTTGATGCCGTACGCCCCAGGACCAGGCGACTGCTCGGCCGTTGTCTGAACGTGGTGCCGCGACTTCATCGAGACAGCCGGCGCATCGCCGACCGACGACTTGATGCCGTACGCGCCAGGGCCAGGCGAGGTCTCGGCGGTCGTCTTGACATGGTGTCGCGACTTCATCGACGCACCAGGTCCCTTGCCGACCGTGCTATCGATCATGTAAGCACCGGGGCCTGGCGAAGTCTCGGCGGTCGTCTTGACATGGTGTCGCGACTTCATCGAGACCGCAGGCGCATCACCCACCGACGACTTGATGCCGTACGCGCCAGGACCAGGCGAGGTCTCGGCGGTGGTCTTGACGTGGTGCCGCGACTTCATCGAGGCCGCGGGCGCGTCGCCCACCGACGACTTGATGCCGTACGCGCCAGGGCCAGGCGACTGCTCGGCCGTCGTCTGAACGTGGTGGCGACCCTTGAAGGACGCTGCGGGAGCATCGCCGACCGACGACTTGATGCCGTACGCACCAGGACCGGGCGAGGTCTCAGCGGTCGTCTTGACATGGTGCCGTGACTTCATCGAGGCCGCGGGCGCGTCGCCGACCGACGACTTGATGCCGTACGCCCCAGGACCAGGCGACTGCTCGGCCGTTGTCTGAACGTGGTGCCGCGACTTCATCGAGACAGCCGGCGCATCGCCGACCGACGACTTGATGCCGTACGCGCCAGGACCAGGCGAGGTCTCGGCGGTCGTCTTGACGTGATGGCGCGACTTCATCGACGCACCCTTGCCCCTGCCGATGGTGCCGTCGATCATGTAGGCACCAGGGCCTGGCGAGGTCTCGGCGGTGGTCTTGACATGGTGCCGCGACTTCATCGAGACCGCAGGCGCATCACCCACCGACGACTTGATGCCGTACGCGCCAGGGCCCGGCGAGGTCTCGGCGGTGGTCTTGACATGGTGCCGCGACTTCATCGAGGCCGCGGGCGCGTCGCCCACCGACGACTTGATGCCGTACGCGCCAGGGCCAGGCGACTGCTCGGCCGTTGTCTGAACGTGGTGCCGCGACTTCATCGAGACAGCCGGCGCATCGCCGACCGACGACTTGATGCCGTACGCGCCAGGGCCAGGCGAGGTCTCGGCGGTGGTCTTGACATGGTGCCGCGACTTCATCGACGCACCCTTGCCCCTGCCGATGGTGCCGTCGATCATGTAGGCACCAGGGCCTGGCGAGGTCTCGGCGGTCGTCTTGACATGGTGCCGCGACTTCATCGAGACCGCAGGCGCATCACCCACCGACGACTTGATGCCGTATGCACCAGGGCCAGGCGAGGTCTCAGCAGTGGTCTTGACGTGGTGCCGCGACTTCATCGAGACGGCAGGAGCGTCACCAATGGAAGACTTGAGGCCGTACGCGCCTGGACCGGGAGAGCGGCGCCTGTCGGCGGCACTGGCAGTTTTGGGCCGGAGCGAGTATGCAGGCGCGTCGCCGACCGACGACTTGATGCCGTACGCGCCAGGGCCAGGTGACTGCTCGGCCGTCGTCTGAACGTGGTGGCGACCCTTGAAGGACGCTGCGGGAGCATCGCCGACCGACGACTTGATGCCGTACGCGCCAGGACCGGGCGAGGTCTCAGCGGTCGTCTTGACGTGGTGACGCGACTTCATCGAGACGGCGGGAGCGTGTCCAACCGACGACTTGATGCCGTATGCACCAGGGCCAGGCGAGGTCTCGGCGGTGGTCTTGACGTGATGGCGCGACTTCATCGACGCACCCTTGCCCCTGCCGATGGTGCCGTCGATCATGTAGGCACCAGGGCCTGGCGAGGTCTCGGCGGTGGTCTTGACGTGGTGCCGCGACTTCATGGAGACACCCGGGGCAGCACCAACGGATGACTTGATGCCGTACGCACCAGGGCCAGGCGACTGCTCGGCAGTGGTCCTGACGTGGTGGCGGCCCTTGAAGGACGCGGCGGGCGCGTCGCCGATGGTCGACTTGAGGCCGTAGGCGCCAGGGCCTGGCGACCGGCGTGCTGTGGTATCCGGTAGCAGCGCAGCGCAGAAAGCGGACATGGAAGGTGAGTGGCACACGGGGCACCCATCTACCGGCTCAGTATGGATATGCATGGCGGCTGTGGCGAGCATGGGCGTGCAAGGTGTTCAAAAAAGGCCAAACGGCTCGCTCCAACGGTCGCATCGTCGCCGTTTGGCTGGCACAGAGCGCAGGGCCCGACAGGGCATGGTATGGAGGACACGTACAGTAGTCGTTCTTGAACCGTTGTGGGAAGACGCCCGACGTGTCGCGCGATCGCCGCGAGCCAGCCGTGGCCGGCCGCTTTCTCGCCATGCCCGCACGCAGGGGGTGAGAGGGTGAGGTGTGGCCAGCTGCGGTGGCGGTGGCGGTGGCTGTGGCGGTGGCGGCAGCGGCCAAGCCGGCACGGAGAGCGCCGCTAGTGGGGCGGGAGCGCGTTGGCCTCTGATCGGCGGCCTCAGTTTTAAATCGCGATGGTTGTGTTCGTGAAGCTCACCCCTCGTCATGCGCTTGGTCAAGGGCGCGGTCGACGGTGCTGACCACAGGAGAGCCGCGGGCGCGCTTGGCCCGCTTTGATGGCCGGAGGTGGGTGGCGCTGGGCGACGTTGCGATTGACGCCGACGGAGGCACGGCCGAGATGGGTAGAACAGCAGCTGGCTTGGCCGTGCCGGACCGATCACGCTTGGTGCCACCCGTCGTGGGGGCGCGGTCATTCGGAGACGGGACGGCGTGCACCGGCTGGCGGTGGGTGCGCCGCTTGCGAACAGGAACCGAGTCAGGTGCCAGCGGCGGAGCGAGGATGTCGTTGAGCGGCGTGTCAACTGAGGCGGCGGATGAGGCCGAGGCGAGCGAGGGCGAGGCCGAGATCGACGGGGCTGCCGGCTCCGGTGAAGACGAGCTGACGCCCGAGGCTGCGCGGACCGGAGACTGGGCAGCAGCAAGGCGGGTCTCGAGCTCGTCGACGCGGGCAGCGAGGGTAGCCTTTTCCGCCATGAGGGCGTGGTTGTCGGCGACGAGCTCGCGGAACTTCTTCTTCTTGGCGTTGACGATGGTGACAAACGAGCGCATGAGCTCCTCTTCGAGCAGTGCCTTGTCGCTAACGACCGTGTCGAGCATGCGCTTGGCCTCATCCCGCTGGCCCATCAGTAGGCCGTTGGCGGTGTGAAGCTCGTAGTTTTCGTGCTCGAGGCTGGCGCGGGCGCGGAGAAGGGCGTCGACAACGGCGGAGACAATGCGCGCCGGTGAGGCCTCTTCCGCCAGGACCACCGAGCCGCGAAGCGGGACGAGGCCGTCCTTGATGACCCAGCCGAGACGGAGGTTGTCGTCGCGGAGCTCAAACGTGTATTGGAAGCGCGAGCCGCTGAGGTCCTGCGTAGCGAGCGCGGCGCGGACAGTCGCCATGTACGCCGCCACCTCCATGCCAGGCGGGCAGAGCTCGCTGCGGACGATAGCCTTGGTCACGCTCGCGTACCACGCCCGCCCGCCGTCTGTCACCGAGATCGAGAACGAGGCCTCTTCCCACTTGGAGACGACGTAGAAGACCTTCCTGTCCACCGCAAACCGAGCAATGTCCTCTGCTGCCTCCTGCCGCAGCTTGCGAATGTGCTCGGCCTGCCGCTGCGCGGCCTCGGCCACGGGTCCTGCCAGGCTCGCACCACCTCCGCCGCCTCCGCCGCCTCCACCGGCAGCTCTGCCAGCGCCGCCAGCGCTCGCTTGCGGTGGCGCAGCCTGGCTGGAAAAGACTTGTGTCGCCACAAACGACGGGCTTACGTGGGACATAGTGGGGTGGGGTGGGGTGGGGGGGAGGAGTGCGAGGCCGGTGGCGGTGGCCGCTTCGCCTGATCACGATCGCGATCAGGCGATGTGACCGAGCGAACTACGACCTTTTCCGGTCGCCCAACACCCTCCCCCCCTCCCCTCCCCCTCCCACAGCTACAACCTCTCCACTTCACCCTGCACAAAGGCAGGAGCACGCATGGCCGACCCGCAGGTGGTAGCGGCTGCGGTGAGCGAGCTGGAGAGGCGGGGCGTGCGTGGGGTGCGGCGGGCGTGGGTGGAGGCGGCAGTAGCAGGCGGAGCGGGGTCGGCGGCAGCGGTGTGGGAGACGCTACTGGCGACCGACGTGTCGTGCGGGGCGGCTGCCGGGCGGGAGGCTGGAGAAGGCGAGGCGCGGAGCGGAGCGAGGTGGGTCGAGCCCGTAGTGGCGTTGTCGGGCCTGCCAGACGGCGTGGTTACCCGGCACCGCGAGGTGATCGCCGGCCCGGCGCTTCTCCAGCTGACGGAAGCAGTGGACGTGGGCAATCCGCCGGCGGCGGGCGATGCCAGCGCGTCGGCGACGGTGGCGGCGCTGGCGGATGGCGGCGATGACGACGACGGCGAGTGGGTCGAGTACACGACGCTCGGTCAGCGGGCGGCTCGGAGTAATCCGCGGATGCTCCGGCTCGCGCTGCACGACGGGATGCAGGCGGTCCACGCGCTCGAGATCGAGGGACTGCCTGTCCTCGACGGCCTGCAGCCGGGGTGCAAGCTCCTGCTTGGCAACGTGGCCATTCGCCGCGGGCATCTGCTCCTCGACTCGACGACCAAGATCGAGGTGCTTGGCGGCGAGGTGACCGACTGGGGCGTGGCGCCGCCGGATCCTGCGGCGGCGCGGGTGCTCGCCAACCGGGCTGCGGTGGTCATCGAGCTCAGCGACGACGACGACGACTTTGCCTGACAGGGCCATCGTGACAGTGTATGTATATGTGTGTTCATATCGGCACAGGACTACACGCCCCACTTCTTGCGGAGGGCAAAGTACTGGCCGAGGCGGGCGGCGGCAAACTCGAGGAAGCCAAACTCGTCCGAGGGGTTTGCGGCGCGGACGATGGCCCAGAGGCCCCAGAGCATGTGTGAGGCGAGCGAGCAGATGCGTGCCTCGTGCATGAGGTCCGGGATGGCGGCAGCAACAGCAGCCGGGTCGGTGACGCCGGTTTCGGCGAGATAGGCGGTGAAGAACGCGGTCTGGGTCTCCTCGCTCGGGTAGTTGTCGGGGTTGAGGACAAAGCCGGGATGGCCGTCGACCGAGTAGTTGATAGAGGCCTCGGCAAAGTGGTTGCCAAAGTCGAATCCGCGCCAGGCGTACATGCCGTACTCAAAGTCGACAAAGGTGACCTCGCCCTCGCGGCCGGGCTCGCGGAGCTGAAGGATGTTGGCGGCGAGCAGGTCCATGTGAGTAAAGGTGACCGGAGCGTTGAGCGAAGCGAGGAGGTCGATGAGCGAGGCAACTTCGGTGTGGAGCCGCGGCATGTCAAACTGCATGGCCTTGCGGGTGGCCTCGACGTCGGGCATGATCGACCTCGCCGCGAGCTTCCACCAGAGGAACAGATTGTCCGGCAGGCCGTTCTCGTGGGGGATGGGCACGTCGGCGGCATGAACGCGGGCAAGGTGCGCGCCAATCTTGGCTGCAACGTCGACGTCGTGGCAGTCGATCGAGGCCAAGGTCTTGGCGTTGAAGAAGGCCTCGATCCGCCCGCCCTTGAACGTGCCGAGCAGCGCCGGCGAGAGGCCTATGCTCCCAAAGTGGGCAAAGATGGCGCCCTCGCGCTCGCGGTCGACAAGCTCGCCGGTACCCTTGCCAAAGTGCCGGACCAGGACTGCCGTCGGGGCGTCGTTGCCAACCTTGGCCCGCGCCGCCTCGCTCACCTCAACCTTGGTGAGCACATTGGTCAGCCCGCCCGAGACCGTTTCCACAGACACGTCACCGGCATCGAGCTCCTGCCAGCCCTGCACATGTAAGAGTGCCTGCTCGGCCGCGTCGGCCGTAAACGAAAACGAGGTTGCCATTGTTCGCCTGCAATGTACTTGGGAGTGGGGTGTCTCGAGTTGAAGTGGCGTTGTCGGTGGGCGGCGGTAGGCGGAGGTCGCGCGGCGAGACGCGTTTTGGCCACATATTCACACATGCGAGTTTTTTTTAACTCTATTGTTTAGGAGGCCAGGCGAACACCACGTGGTGGTACGTGCGCCGTGACCGCGAAACGCCGTTCCGTTGGCCTTCCACGGCCCAGCGCCGCGCTGCGAGCTACCGCGTTGACGACACCTCTCCTCCTCTTGCTCGCTCAGACATGGCTATGGAGCTGAGCCAGTCAGCAGACGGCACGTACGGCCCCCGAACGGGCAGCAGCGGTATCCACGTGGCGGCGGGCATGGGCGGCACGGCTCGTCAACGCCGGGCACGTCGCGTCGGCCGGTCTCGATCGCGCCGCCGCTCGGCCCGTCGCCGCTGCGGCACGGAACAACGGCGTCGCATGGTGGAAGCCGGCGCGGGAGCGGGCGCGGGGGGCGGCGGCATGGCGGCGGGCGGCGGCCTGGTGGTGGGCAGTCGCATGGAAGCCGGCGCGGGAGCGGGCGCGGCAGGCAGGCGCGCGGCAGGCGGCGCGACGACTCGTCCGACCTGGTCTCGGGCTCGGGCTCGGGCTCGGACTCGGACTTGGGCTCGTACTCAAGCGAGTCGGGTGCTCGGTCGCCACCGCCGGCGCAGACGCTGGCGCCAGCAGCGGCGCATCCGGCGCGATCGCCACCGGTCTTCACCAACACGTCGCGGCTGAGTTCTGGGATTGGAAGCGGCAAGGCGTCGCTGCAGACGTACCGGGCAGTGGTGGTGGCTGCGCCAATGTTTGTCCTGTTTGCCGGCCTCCTCGTGTGGTACGCCGTGCTTGGCGGGCTTGGTGGCGTGCTTGTGTGGGCGCTTGGGGGATGTTGCGACCGGTCCGGCAACGAGACCGGCTCGATGCGGACGTCGATGATCTTCAGCTACACCAGCATGGTCGGGCTCGGCTTTGGTGGCGGGTCGGAGCCATCGTCGATTGCGGTGGTGAGTGTGGCGATTGCGCTGCGGGCGCTTTTTGTAGTCTCGTCGCTGCTCGCGGGCGCCGTGGCGGTGGCCAAGCTGACGCGGGCAACGTCGCGGGTGGTCTTTGGCAAGCACGTCTTTATCCACGCTGTCCGCGGCAAGTACCGCCCGCACAACGTGGTGTCTGTCCGGGTGGGGCTCGCAGTGCCAGGCGCTGGCCCGCTGGTCGACGCGACTGCCGAGATGGTGCTCGAGCTTCCCGGGACCGACGGCGTGCCGAGCGTTCACGTGCTCAAGCTCGCCAACGGGAAGAACGCCAACTTTACAGGACCGTGGACGCTTGTCCATGCCATCGACGGTAACTCGCCGCTCCGCTCGCTATCGCGGGCTGACATTGTGGCGCTGCTGCCGCGGCTTTCGGTTGTGGTCTCCGGCTTTGACCCGCTCGTGGCCGGCCGGGTGTCGGCCGCGAGCTCGTTCCCGTTGTGGGATGTTGCCGATCCGGCGTCGGCGAGCTCGGCGCCGGACGACGTGCTTCAGTGGGCGCGGCATCCGGCGCCACTGGTGATCTCGCCGGTCTTTGGCCCGCAGGCCGAGCCAGCGCATGTCAATCTCGCGCTCTTTGACGCGCACATTTCGGCACCGACGGAAGAGCCGCCGCGCGAAGCGACTGAGCCTGCCAAGCTAGCGCCAGTTTCGATACGCCGCCGGCGGTGAGCCCCCCCCCCTACTTTGTCTCGGCCTCAGCCGCGCGCTCGAGAATGGCCGGTGCGTGGCCGACCGCCGTGGTGTACCAGGTGGCGAGAAGCTCGGCCTGGGCATCGGTGAGCTCACTCGCGGCAGTGAGCTCGGCAGCGGACGATCCGGCAAGGCCGGCGCGAGCGTCAAAGTGTGCGTCAGAGAGGAGGCCCCAGGCCTGAAGGTAGGCCATGGTCATGCCAACAGCGACCGAGATGTTAAACGATTGAGTCATGCCGCGGAGCGGGAGGACAAACGCACCGTGCGCAGCAGCAGAGAGCTCAGACGAGACGCCGAGACGCTCGTTGCCAAAGGCCAGAGCTAGCGTCTTGCCGTCGTCGTGGATGGCGGCAGCCAGATCCTCGCGCCACAGCGGGAGCGGGCGGGCCGTCGGCGAGAGCTCCGCGGTGAGCAGGAGGGTGGAGGAGGCGTCGAACGGGGGAGCCGCAAGCATGTCGGCAGCGGCATCGAAGCGGCGGAGGCCGAGCCAGCGGGCGGCAGACTGCGATCGGAACGCGTGGTCAAAGTGGTCCTCGTCGGCCACAATGTCAACGTGGTGAACGCCGACGCCCTCAGCTGTCCGCAGCGCTGCGCCGGCGTTGCGCGGATTGGCCACATTCTCCAGCACCAGCCGCACCTTCTCTGTCCGCCCACGCAGCGCCCCCTCGAGCGTCCGCCGTCGTGTGTCCGAGAGATACGGTGAGAGGGCCGCCACGGCCTGCCGAGCTGAGAGGCCCACCCGTCGCCACATTGCCCCCCTTCCGTCCGAGAAAGGTCGTCAAGTGCGAGGATGGCCGAGCGGGGTTGATCGGGGCTGGCGATGGCGATCGTGGTCGTGATCACGGTCGCCACCTCTGGCTGACGGGAACACACTTGACGGGCGCAGGGGGGTGGTCGGCGTGTGCGGACTACGCCATGCATGGTGCCAAGCGGATGAAGGTGTCATCAGGCGGGGCCGTGGTGACGGCTGTGGCCGAAGAGAACGAGCAGACGAGGAGTGCGGCCAGGAGCCAAGGCGGTGGTGAGCCGGGGACGGCGGGTCCGAGCGTGGCGCGTACGACGGCAAGTGCAAGCGTGGCAAGCACGGCAGCTGCAACTGGACGTGGCTCTGCAACAGCGAGCACGGGGGCAGGCACGGTGGGCGCAAGCGACGATAGCGAGTCCGAGGTGGGGGTCGGGGAGGACGTCGGGCTCGGGGTGGCCGCCGGCTCGAGTTCGGGCGCGGGCGTCCTCGACGAGGCGGTCATGGATCCGAGCCAGTTTCCCGAGCTGGACGGCGAGTTTGATGTGCTGCACCGGATCGGGCAAGGCACGTTTTCGACGGTGTACAAGGCGCGGCACCGCGGGACCGGGCTGGTGGTGGCGTTGAAGCGGATCCGGGCGACGACGGCGCCGTGGCGGACGTTCAACGAGCTTGGGTACCTCATCCACTTTGGCGGCCGCGAGTACGTGACCAACGTGCACAAGTGTTTGCGACGCGAGGACCAGGTGACGCTCATTCTACCGTACTTTGAGCACAGGCCTTTCTACAAGTACGTGTCGTCGATGACGCTCCACGAGGTGGCGGTGTACATGAAGGCGTTGATGGTGGCGCTGCGCTACATCCACACCGAGAACGTGCTGCACCGCGATGTCAAGCCGTCGAACTTTCTGCACAACCCAGAGACCGGTCAGTTTATGCTCATCGACTTTGGCCTAGCGGACCTGGCGTCTGTCTCCGAGGACGCCCATAAGGGCAACGTGCTCCTGGCCAAGATTGCGACCAACATGCAGCGGGCAAAGCTCAACCGGGTCGCCGCTGCCACCAAAGAGTACGAGCGCGAGGCGGCAAAGAGGTCGGCGCGGTCGTCCAAGCGCAAGCGCTCGCTGACGCGCGCGGCGCGGGAGGCGACGCAGGCAAGCGGTGCGAGCACGGCAAGCACAGCGTCCAGCTCGAGCGCGAGTGGGGCGAGCAAAGCGACCGGGCCGATCATGCTCGGCCACGAGCGGCTGGCACAGCTGCAGGCGCAGGGCAACGACCGAAAGCGGGCGCGTGTGGCGGCGCGGGCCGGCACCCGCGGCTTTCGCGCGCCCGAGGTCCTGCTGCGGGTGGAGGAGCAGACGACGGCCATCGACGTGTGGTCGGCCGGCGTCATCCTCCTCTGCATGCTCCTCCGCAAATACCCGGTCTTCCACTCGCCGGACGACTTGACCGCCCTCTGCGAGATCACGCTGTTTTGTGGCTCGCGCGAGATGGTGGCGGCGGCGGCGGCCATGAACCGGGTCTTCCGCCCCGAATCGCTCCACCCGCGAGTTGACCTCAAGGACCTTGTTGTCCGGTGCGTGCCCGACTTTGGCGCGCCCGAGCTTGCGCGCCAGCTCGACGACGCCATCCAGCTGCTCGAGGCCTGCCTCGAGCTGGATCCAGCGCGGAGGGTGACTGCCGCCGACGCGCTCGACCTCCCATTCCTCGCCAACGTGGAGGCACCGCCTCTACCGCCTGACTAGTGCATGGCGTTTACCTGTACGGACGCTTCGTCAGAGGCGGAAGAAAAGCGACATGAGCGAAGCCATCGAGCACACGCCGACGACCCTGGTGGCGTCGTCGACGACCCAGAGGCGCGAGACGACGTGGGTGCTAAAGAGCTCGAGCGCCGCGCGGAGGCTCGTGGTCTTGGAGACAAAGACCGGCTCGCGGAGCCGGCCGTGGAGCTCTAGAAAGTCGAGGATCGGCAGCGAGAGGACCTTAAAGTTGGCGGCGGTGACAACCTTGGCGTCCGAGACCGAAAAGTTGCCGAGGAGGAAACCTTCGGGCGAGACGATGGCCACGCCGTCAGTCTTGGCGTTGTACAGCTCTTCGATGGCATCGCCCGCTGAAGTCTCCGCAAGTACCTTGGGCACGTTGGCGTAGAAGAGCGAGGCCGTGACAATGTCAGCATCCAGCTGCTCGTCCGACGCGAGCTGCGTGAGATGGGCCCGTGCCCACGCCAGCACGTCCTTCTTCTCCAGCAACCGCGCCTCGCGGGCCGGCAGCGGTGGGAGCTCGCCGCTCGCCTCGTCTCGGATCATGTACTTGGGCGCGACAACGAGGAGGTAGTGGAGGCCTGCCGCAAAGAGATGAAGAGTGGCGCGAAGGAGGGTGGCGCTCGAGATGCGGTACTCGGCGTTCTCGCCCGAGATCGAATAGCTCCCCACGAGCTCGTCGACACTGGCCGCCGCAAACGTTGCCGCCAACTGCGCGTTGTGCGTGTCCTCGTCGACAAGCGCCTCAGCCACACGATGCCGGCCCTCGCGAGCACGCGCCAGCAGATCAAACACCGACACGCCATCGATGTAATGGCCGTTGCTGTCGACGACGGCCGCAAAGGAGCTCCCGGCGTCGTCGAGCACCTGCGCCAGGGTGCCTGCTGGCGCAGACGCCAGGACGGTGGCCACCGGCGGCTTGTCGGCCACCAATGCTGCGAGCGGGATGCGAAAGCGCGGTACGGGATTGTCTTCAGCCATGGCGGGGAGGAGATGAGGCGAGGTGGGATGGGAGGGGAGTGACGAGAGGTGTGTGTGTGCGTGTGTGCGTGTGTTGTGCGGTTGGGTCAGTTTGGGACGGCTGACCGTGGGAGACCGGGAATGGAGGGAGGGGGAGTTGGACGACTGGCTGCGCTGGGCTTGGCTGCTTGCGCCAATTGCCCCCCCCCCCCTTCCCCTTCCCCTTCCCCACCTCTGCCTCCACATTGACTCGCCTGCTCTGTGACCAACTGTTGGGCTAGTAGCAGCGGTAGGCGGTGGCGGCATGTGGGTGGCGGGTCTGCGATCATTAGGCGGAGCACGAGTCATCGTCGGTCTCGTCGTCGGCAAACAGATCCGGATCGGTGGGTGCGTAGCGGCGCGAAAAGTACGAGTAGCCGCCCTTGAGGATGGCGATCTGGACGGTGGGGCAGGCGGCGATGTCGGGATGGGCGGCGAGAGCGCGGGCGCACGACGGGCCGCGGACCTGGGAGAACTGGCAGTGGACAACAACAGGCAGCGGGTTCATGTCGGACGCACCGGCGTCAGCCGCCCGCTGGACCAGCTCCCTAGCCAGCGACGTCATGCCTGCATCAAAGTCGCGCGATGCGAGCCAGATGGCGCCAGCGATGTGTCCACCAGCGTGGTCGTCGTCACGGACATCGACCACCACTACGGGCGCCTGCTCGTCGCGGAGCAGGCCAAGCAGCGAGTCTGGCTGCAGGTACGGCACGGTAGGGGGCGTGGCCATATTGAAAGCAGCTTGATGAAGAGAGGTGTGAGTGTATATGTATGATTGTATGATTGTATGTATGGGAGGGAGGGGAGGGGGGGGGGGGGGGGAGCGCGCGCAGTGTAGTCGCCGACGGCCGGCCTCC